CACATTTGAGAATACTGGGAAAAAAGTTCCATCTGACTTTGGAACCAAGAATCTTTATGTTTCACATGAACAATGTTTTTATTTTTGTTTTGTTTTTATCTCATATACATTGTAGAGTAGAATGTCCAGCTACCAAAGAGTTCTGAGAGCAAATCTGTGGCCCCTCTCTGTGAATGGGTATAATCTTTACTGAGAGCCTTTTTAGCCTCATTCCTGGTGCCATGTCATCACCTCATTCCTGTTTTGTATTCTTTTCCTGTTTCTCTCCGGTTGCTGTATCCTACATTGTTTACGTTTTTGATGCCCATGCCTGGCATGCTACCTGGCACATTAGAGACAATAACTAATCATTGCATTTTATTAAATGTCTAACCCCTCCCTGAAATAAGACACTCCACCTTTTATAAAAGAACAAAACCCTTTCCTAAGGTGATCCTGAGACTTGATAGCTCCCTTCCTATACTCCTAAGGAAAAGGCGGCTGACCAGTGAGGTACTGAAATTCAAACACCCTCTCCTCCCTGCCCCCAACTCCTGCCCACATCTTTTACTTTCAGGTGAAGACCTGCCACTTTGGGCTTCACACAGGTCTACAAAGCATGTCTAAGCAAAGCGCAAAAGGTAGTTTCTCAAAACTTCTGTCTATCATGAGAATAAAAATAACTCTATTGACGTAAAAGATTCTAGAAGTGAGCCTAAGGGAAAAAAAAATTTTTTCAGTGACTTTCCAAAGAATGGGAAAGAAGATGCACTTGACAGGTCTCTGTTGCCACGTAAGGGAAAGGACAGTCAGGAGAAGGTGACAGGACTCGGGTTTCCTCAGCTGGGAGACAAGAGGTCATGTCATGGAGCCGTCTCTGTGGTTTTCAATACTAAAGAGAATTGAAGGGACTTGGGAAAGCAGAGGGCTTATTAACAAAATTCAGGATTAAAAAGAAAAATGTGAGTCTAAGTCTTCTGCCCAATGGCTACCTCAGGGGTTTGCTAGTTTATATATGCATATGTTAAGGCACAGAGGTAAAAATATAGCTAAAGGTAAAAATATAACAAGCTATAGCTAAGGTAAAAATAACATATATTAATAAATTTTGATTAGTACTTACAAGTCTTACATATATAAAATTATTTTTCATATATTGGTTTGCATTATGTATCATGAAGATTCTAAACTTAAATCTTTCCTATGCCACACCTACCACTAAAAATATAAAATAATCTAAAAATGCCAGGATTTTTATTTTTTCAGTCTGCATTATATTTTTCCAAGTAAGCATAGATTACTTTGTAAAGCTTCCATTTGTTAAAATACATGCTATGTATTTTAAACCAATCACATCAAATTATCCTTCAAACAGATGATGAAATCATAAGATCACTAAATCTTCACCACAAATTCACACCAGCCTCAGAAACATACACGTAGCTATCGTTTGAGCCACAGAAACAGAAACTTAGAATTCAAATACATGATTCAGCATAAGGTCAAATCTCAGATACCAAAGCAAGGAATACAAGACAAGAGCCATAAAACAAGACTATTCCTATAAGAGCCAAGTAACGAGTAGTTCTGCCCTTCTGAGAGTTTTCATAGGTTAGGGTGTGCACTTGGTTAAAGATCATTTGGTATTCCAATAGGAGAATATGTTAAGGAAAATGTATTGAGGCTTTTAATATTCATCATTTAATCCCTTCACAAACCCTGCCAGGAAGGAAGGCTCTATTTATTAACCCTGTTATATAGAAAAAGAAGTTAATTCTGAGTAGCAAAGTAACTTGCTTGCTTACAAAAACAGTCACCAAATTAAAAAAAAAAAAAAGAACACATGGACAAAACCAAGGGGGAGTGGAAGCAGGTGAGGGAGGTGGGGATGGCTGGGGTAGTGGGGACTAGTCTGGGGTAAATGCAGACAACTGTACTTGAACAACAATAAAATAATTTTTAAAAAGACATTAGAGAATAAATAAATAAATAAATAGTACCAGGAAAACCAAAAAAAAAAATCAGTCACCAGATCCCCTGAGCATAAGTCAGGGAGGGGCTCAGTGGACTCCATCATATGTTCATTATCACAACAGAGGGCTCATCAATAAGAAAAGGAATGATTGACATAGGGAACAGTTTTCAGGGCTCCGTAGCAGACCTAGTGGGAGCCGGTTTACATGTGTTAGAAGGTGGCAGGTGGCCAGGTTAGAGAAACCTAAAAACACACTGGCAAAGGAGTCTTTTCCCCACTGGCAGTGTGGAGTTGCACTTACATGTGCCGCTGGCCCTCAGGACCTGAGTCCAATCGTGTATGGGGCATGCCTTGCTAGTTGGGCTCAAAGGTAATTTGTATCTCATTTTATTTGGAAGAATCTTACCTAGTGTAAGAATTATGGTCATTGGCTGACAAACATTTCTCGAAAAAAAATTTAAAAGCCATATCAATGCACAAGAGCATAAGAAAAGTGAAAACCTCCATTTTTAATGGAATGCCATTTTTATTGAGATCATCTCAATAACTTAGTAGTCTTAGTCATAGAATCTATAATTCTATAAACTGTCTTGGCATAAAAATACATAGAAGCCTGAGGCATTCATAATCTAAACTGATTCTGTTTGAATTCAAGCATAAATGGCTTGTCTGTGATTTTTCTTTTTATTACTTTGCTTCAAGAACATTAAAAAAATGTAAAGGTATGATCTGGGTAGCATCAAAGAAGGAAAAACAAAAAATACCCCCTTACTGCCTTATATCCTTTTGACCCAGAACACATCTAGCTAGTAGAAAATTTGCTTCATGGCAGTCATAGGCATATTTCTGTACTAAGTTATAACTCACTGAGAAATTGTGCTCTTGGAGATCCTCTCAGACCTTTAATGTTGTGCTAGTACCAGCTCTCTGCTGTACTCGCATTTATGGGTGCGCTCACATTTATTCTTGGCTAATTAGATCTAACGGTGTCAACCAACTCTTGTTATGAAAACGGTACTTTCAGCCCGGTTTACAATAAAAGCCAACATGCACATCCTCCATTCTTAGCTAATCGAAGAATTTTCCTGCTGTTTATAGTCAAATAATCCAACGATTACTGCACAGCAAACAAAGCAAGGAGCCGGTGCCCCCACTAATAAAGTCAGGGGGAAGAGTGAGCCAAACATACTCCATTAGCAAAACTCATTTATTTTATAGTTTCTTAATGTGAAATCTGTAAGTCTGAATTGGACTACAATTCCAGGATCTTACCCCAAAGCTCCCATCAGTGCACCTCAGTACCCACCAACAGCCTGCCTCCTCTGTGCCGCAGTCCTGGGGGTTGTACACTGCACAGCCTTAGAAGCACCAGTCACATTGTAAAAGTCATAGATGTGACTACTTCTAATAACAACTAATCAATTGATAACAGCAGTAAAATTTTGCGATTTTCATGAAATCAGTATTTTGATAATTTTTCAACATAATTTTTAATACATAATCTTTATTGTACTTTTCCACTACCATTTAGTGCCCTTTTACCCCCTCCCCGCAGCAATCCTCATACTGTTGTCCATGTCCATGAGTCCTTTTTCCTTTTTTCCTTTTTGCTCAATCCCTCCACCCCTTAACCTTCCCTCACCAGCTATCATCTGTTCTGGAAAATAACAGTTTTGAAGAGAGGACATAGTTTTCTAAATCATACGAAAACACTATAGATTAGCAGTTTTCTTGCCATAAACCAATTTAACTCAGATAAATCAGTTGATAATGTGTATAAGAGAAAGGGATTTTTTTTTCTATTCAGATATACCTTACCATAGGAAGGAGAGAGAGTTAACCCATCATCCATACATCTCCCAGAAATGTGACTTAAATCTTTTTCCTAACATTTAAAAAGTGAGATTTATTGTTATATGAGCTTTGTCACTGCCCATTTACAGACCAAGGAAAGAGAGCCACAGAGATTTGATCTCCTCAGAAACTGCTTTATAATTAGGAAAATGTGTTCAAAAATATATCCAATAATAATTTTTAAAACTACACAGTGTATTAATTTTACCTATATTCAGAGAAGAGAGAGTGGGGAAGAAGAAAGGAGAACACAAAGAGGGAACAGAGGGGAAAACATAAATCAGGGTGAGGGAGGGGTGGGGCAGGGAAGGGAAAGAGGTACAAAGAAAGAAATCAAAGGATGTAAGTGCTTAGAAAGACAGAAAGGAGAGATATATACAAGAGATATAGCAAGATACAGCAAGAAAGATGGAGAGGTGGAAAGATCAAAGGAAAGATACTGTAAGTTCTCAGATGGGTGCTGGTTGAAGAGTAACTGATTTGCGTACAGTTTTAATTTTCCTAGGTTTATGGAAAAATACTTTATTATGCTAACTGGGCATGAAGTGTTCATCCCAGGTCTTTATTCAATATACCTACACTTTCCAATATTCTTTGTCAACAGCTCACCAAGTTGTATAAGTTTTCTTGACTATAGTAGCAATATGAACATGGTGTCTTGGCTGAATAAATTAAGCCAAGCCAAAAAGATAAGAGAAACTACTTTCCCTGAGAGAACTGGTAGCTTTTGGTGTTACAATACATGGACAGCTATGGACATACAAGACAAAGGCTGACATTCTGATTCCATGGAAAAGTGTGTTTAATAGAGAAAAAATTAAAACCCTCTATGTTTAACTATGGCAAAAAGAATTCATTGATGCCATTCAGCTTTAATAGATATTTAAATTTATATGGGTGAGCTATCAAAGTATATCTTGGTCAAATACTTAAAAAATTGTTAATTTTTTTTAACAATTTGGTCAGATACTAAAAAAATTGGTGGTTAATCAATGTATGAGTTCTTAGTGTTTCTGGAGACACTGGTTTGAATATGAAAAGAATAACCACCATGGTTATTTCACAGATCATTAGGTGGGCCTCAGTACCCCATCCTCTCCTAGTATCACACACACACACACACACACACACACACACACACACATACACATACACACTATCTCCTGGTAACAATTTATCTCATTTTCCACAGTGCTCCTATATTCCTAAGTGTGGGAAAAATTTTGAAGAATCCATGTCTCTGGTGAATGTTGTCATGGAAAACTTCAGGAAGTACCAGCACTTTTCCTGCTATTCTGACCCGGAGGGAAACCAGAAGAGTGTCATCCTCACCAAACTCTACAGTTCCAATGTGCTGTTCCATTCACTCTTCTGGCCCACGTGTATGATGGCTGGGGGTGTGGTGATCGTTGCCATGGTGAAACTCACACAGTACCTCTCCCTGCTCTGTGAGAGGATCCAGCGGATCAATAGATAAAGGCAAAGTGGATGACATTATTTTTTTTAAAGCTCAAATACTGTTTTCTTTCATTCTTCACCAAAGAACCTTAAGTTTGTAATGTGCAGTCTGTTATGAGTTCCTTATACATAGAGCAATAATGTAAAAGCTGTTCTATATGCAAATATGATGTCTTTATTATTCAGGAGAAGAAGTAACTATGCTGTGTTGGTTGTTTTCCTAATCTTGTTTCAGTGCTGGAAATAGTACTTCCTTCTCTCGTTCAGCCAAAATAGGGCTCAGTTATTCATTTGCCAAGGTTTGTGGAAGAATGTAGACAATGTTAACGTGATAAGTTCTGTGTTCTGAGTTGTCGGATCTCTTGAAGACATTTCTGCAATAGTTTTCATCATTCATTGTTTACTAAAGCTGCAGCCAAAAATATTTTTTTCTTTTCTTACTTGAAACTGAGCCCTACAGCAAGTGAAGGGACCAGATTTTCTCCCTAAAAGATGTTAATGCATTTTCCTTGTATTTCTTCCCACCATATGGGAGTAAAGTTGGGGGTAAAGCCAGCCAGCTATATTCTTTTAATTACTTTCTATTCATAACTTTAGATTTTTTAAAACTGATTTCCAAAATAAGCTGTTTTCATTAACCAATTCTATATTTTCCCTGTGATTTAAATAGAAAGTGAACAGAGCCCTTTTCCATGTAAGACCTGCTGCTGTGTGATATGCTCCTTGCAAGGAGTTTCGTTACCTGTGAACTGACTTAATGTTGAGTAAATGCTCCGTTACAATCCAGAAAAGTCTATGTTACTAAGATACTTGTGTGAAAATCTTTATTCCATTTTAATTGAACTGTTAGGTGGTAAAACTAAGATCCTACTTGCCGGTCAAGACTAGTGGACTTATTTCAATGGGTAAATCTACTGTGGCAAATTAACATGCTGGAATTTATGTTTAATGAGTGTGTAGTCTCTCTCTTTCTAACACGTGTTCCCCATTTGGATTTTAAAGCTGTGTGCACAGAATATTTGTCTCCTCTACATGTTTTATTTTTTCTATTTTCAATTGCCTTTTTTGTTGCTAGATTTTATACACAGAACAGATCATTTTTCCTAACACACACTTGAACTGAATAATAGATCTAAAGAAAGCTTTTGTTCACATTGCCATTCACTTATGGTGGTTAGAGGGTGGGGGGAATGAGGGATTGGTTTCAGACTAAAACATTCCATCTTTTATTTAACATCAATATCAAAAGGAGAAGACAAACATCTATCTTTTTCATCTGTATTTAAATACCTTTTTGTAATGTTGTTTTCTAGGTATTGCACAATTTTACAGATCATATCTGTGGAATGAATGGTGAAACTAATCTGATGAAGTGAAAGTTTTCTGCAATATTGTAATTCATAGATTACTTTTCATAAGCAAATAAATCCCTAGGGAATAATCAGGACTTCAAATGCGTAATTAAATTTTTTTAAACAAACCATTGCATCAACAAGATTTGAATACCTCTTGTATTTCTCAGATGACAAGACATGGTAGTCAAAAAACTATGATTCATTCACTATCTTTAGAGGTATTTAAAGAGATTATAAAGGAAGTTCCTTTTTAACACCAAAACATATATATAGAATATTATGAAATTTGGAAAATTCAATTCCTGCTTGATCTTGAAAACATAATTCTGAAGACAACAGAGAAAACTTTGTGACCATAGAGCCAAAATTTGTAATCTTTCATGTTCCTTGGGCCTCCCTCCAAGTGATCTAAGTGTGAAATATGTGCAAGTGAGATTTTAGATGGGTTATTTTTTATTTTTCTCTGATTTTAAATTAAAAATTCCCAATTGTGATAAGAATGTAAAAATCTCAAAATAATGACACCAAAAAGAAATTAACCAGTGCCTTCTTGAATTGCGATAAAGCAACATCCCTTTCAAGTAATTTAACTAGATATACAATTAAGTGTTCATTGTTGAAGGAGGAAGAAGTGGGACTAATAGCAATGGCTTATATGCTTTGCAAGTGTTAGCTAGTTTAATCTTCATAACAATCTCATTGGAGGGGCACTATTTCCATCCCACACATGAGAATGTTGAGGCTCAGTTACGTTAAGTAACTTCCTCAAGGTTACACAGAAACGAAGATGGTGGTGAGCTGAGGAACTATCCAGACTTTAGCTTCCCTGTTATGGTAACCATTTCCATGGCTTTGGGTCTTTTAGATAACAGAGACAGATACTGAGATTTGCTGGGGTGGGGGCCGTGTTACATCGGTGAAGAAGAAAGCTCACTGGATTCAAACTCAAAAATATTTCATTCAAGACATGGTGACTAGGTGACTTTAGACTTCTAAATTAGTCTCTTGACTTCTTTGATCCTCAAATTAGGATGTCAGGCCAGCTGACCACTAAGGTCCCTTTAACAACATTGCATCATGGGTGTATGAAAGGAAGAACGAATTCCATTCTACAACCTCCATAGTATAGGCCTGAGTCTCAAATAGAATCTACATGTATTACACTGCAGATTTAAAAACAGCCTCCCTGTTGAGGCTGCTGATCTGATACTCCCCATTAAGTAAATGCTGGACCTCTTCTTTAGGGCCCAAAGCTTTATTAACACCTGCCAGAAGAACAGCTCTGAGTCTCCACATAGTAAACAAGGATGATTTCCCCCACAAAATATCCGTGCTTCCAAATCACCTCGCTACCCAATTGGTACATCCCATCTGTGATTGATTTCAGATTGCCTGTACTGCAGTTCTGTTGAAAGCCATATAATGGTAAATACACCAATGACAGCTTGCAAATAACTATAATAAAAAAAAACACATGATTCTGTAGAAATCCACTAGTGAAATGCTGACTGATCATAATGATGGTGTAGGCATAAAGCACCTCTTTTTTTTAAGATTTTATTTATTTTTAGAGAGGGAAGGGAAGGAGAAAGAGAGGAAAAAAAAAACATCAATGTGCGGTTGCTGGGGACTGTGGCCTGCAACCCAGGCATGTACCCTGACAGGGAATTGAACCTGCGACACTTTGGTTCACAGCCCGTGCTCAATCCACTGAGCTACGCCAGCCAGGGCTGGCATAAAACACCTCTTATGTAGACCACATGACATTTAACATTCAGAATGTTATTCTTTTCTTATTGTTGTAAGTGATCAAAAAAGTGATTCTGCGTGGCATGTGTATAACAAATACTGGTTTTACTATGTCAAGCCATAAGCATCTTACCACTGTCCAGTGAGTGAAACATCTTGACACTGTAATCACTCCACTGAGACATCTTCAGGGCAGAAAAATAATATGAGCAACTGAATCAGATGAGTTAAAACAATAATTTTAGCCCTGTCAGGGTACATGCCTGAGTTGTAGGCCATGACCCCCAGCAACCGCACATTGATGTTTCTCTCTCTCTCTTTCTCCTTCCCTTCCCTCTCTAAAAATAAATAAATAAAATATTTTTAAAAACCAAAAATTTTAAAGAAATGATTTGTTATTCACAGGCATAATTAAATTTCCTCCCCTCCCCACCCAAAGGTTGACATGAGCAATGTTCCAGCAAGTAAGGTAGTTCCCATTGTCCTGGTGGAGAACTGGAGGTGATTGAAAGTTAAACATGGCTCCTTCTCAACATCTACTTTTTCCCCTTTCCCTTGTAAGACAATTCAGTAAGATAAAGCTCACTCTGCAGTAACCACTCCAATGCAGGTACCACATGAAAAATTTGACTCAAGGACCAAAGTTTCAGGATTGCCCTAAAAAATGTGTCAGGGTGACCTATAGAGCAGGACCAGGTAGACAACTTAAACTGAATCTGTTCCAGCTTTCCATATATGCCTCAGCTGTAAGGAATAATACAAGTACGTAACACTGCCTTCTCTCATAAGCATTACTTTGAAACTTACTAGAAGGGTTGAGACAATACACATGAAAAAAAAAAAACAGGTCACCAATCCACACTGGTGGGGATATTTATAGAGGGTTGATATGAGGCTCAGCTGGATGTATATGTAAAATGCCCAGCACTATATATAGCACATAATAGATGCTCACCAAATGGTAATTATTACTATTAATGGTAGCATTAATCATATAACCACTGGTAGCATTTGGTCTCTTGGAGCTGCAACAGCTCCAAAATCTTTTTTCCCAAAATTCACACCAATGTATAAGTAAGTCCCTTCTATACCATCCTTGCAAGTGATCATCCAGTTACTACTTGAATCCTCCCAACTATGAGATAGGTGACCAGTCAATAAGAAAATGCTAGAACATTTTCCTGGTAGCAGTTTGAAATCTGCCTCCTTGTAATATATCTACCCATTAAATCCACATAAAATCAGATCAATACTTCTGTCACAAACTTGTGCTATTAGTGTTATTTTATGTTAAAAATGGAATAAGGGATGTGGAAAGACCAACTTCTATTTGTTAAGAATATAAGACCATGAAAAATAACCCATTAAGGCAGAATTATGACTAAAATAAAAATTTATAAAGGTAGCATAAACAGCACCAACTTTAAAAAAATAATAAATCTGTTAGCACCTAAACATTCATGGATTTATTATATTGATGAGCTAGCTAAACTCTCTGATGTTCATGTGGATTTTAATCCTGCACAACTCCTTGAGTGTAATTTGGCCTTCTGAAAGGTAAGACTGTCTGAAGTTCTATATTTTGTTCTTATTCGACTATGACAACTAGACTAAGCTGTCTGCTAAGGAGCCAGATTCTTTAGAAACATGGATGTGCTCCTAACGCAATGTTGCTACAGTGTGCTGTCAGCTGACCTTGGCTAAAACATCCTTCTCTGGTGCAATGCCAAGAAGTTGGAAGGAAATGTCAGTTTGTGAATTCTGGTTGTGGCTTTATGAGTAAATGTTTCATTTAGGTAGAAAGAGAAGTTGTTCTCTCAAACCAATATGATCACTTAATTAGGGCTTCCAGAACTATTTTTAAGTCAAGTTCTTCTCAAACCAATTTAATCCCAAGCCCTTGTAAATTGTAATATGCCTCATTACCAGCATAGAATACTGTCAGGCCATGGAGAAGGCTTCAAGGCCCTCTACACAATCCCACCATCCATTAGCACTATCAATAGTGCCAGCAATTTCTTTAAGAATAACTTCCCTTCATAAAAATAAACACCTGTCTGCCTGTCTGTCTTTCTCTTTGCTCTGTTTTCTTCTCATTCTTAACCTTTATGCAGCAGCAAAGGTGACCCCTGCCACTGCATGTTCACAAACTCCCTTCTGCCTTGAACCACAAGTGGAGAAAAGCCCAGCATCCATATCAACCTTCAAAAATGCCAGTTTTCTTGCCCACTACTGGGCCCACCCCTATAATGGTGGAGGCAGTGCACGTTATTTGCAGCCTCACTACACGGGGGTCAAATAATTCCCTAAAAGAAAATGAGTATGTGTTAGAGAATAGAGGAAGGGGTACTGGACAGGCAGAACAACAGACGTTTCCATGTTAGGAAACGCATACCAAGGGATGCATTAGGGAACACAGATTTTAGCTAAAGGATAAAAAGTGCCCCACTTATGGAGACTAGCATTCCTGGTGTTGCTGAGAAGGTAAAGGAGTAGAAATTTACTTTGCAGTTTTTCTATGAATCCCCCAGTTATCTCATAACAATTTAAAAGAAAAAACATTTCTGATTTTCACTCTATGAGAGCTGCAGGAATATTTGGTTTCAGCAAGAGACAATAGGTTCCCCTAGCAGCAACTGATACGGCAATGAGAGAAAAGAGTTAATAAGAAACAGAAACTAGTTTAAAAGAAGAGAGGAGTGATAATATATGGGGAAAGGAGATTAGGAATTAGAACATCTAATTTAAACGACTATCACTATTTATTAGATACTAATGAATTTCTCTGTGTTTATCTTAAGGACCTTGACTAACACAGATTCAAGTGCCCTACTTACTGCTTATTTTGGACTAAATTCATTTAAGGGGCATGTGAAGAGTAAAAGGGGTGGGTGCTCCTTACCCTTTAGGTTTTTTACACATCACAACATTTGAGAAAATTACTCCTCCTTGCACCATGCAGTAAGAGCTCTTGTCATAGAGATAATGGCAGGA